AGGGGATAGATTATGGCATACTTTAAGTTCATGAGCAAATGCCTGAATGGTCAGTCCAAAAGAAACAGTGGGAAAAATGGAATGCCCAGTCTGCTGGACAGGAGAGGTGCCTCTAAGTTCTTATCTCTGGTCACTAGCTTGAAGCATTTGGGTGTGGTATAGAACTAAAATACTGTGTCAAGTGTGACTGAGTCCTGCTTCTGGTATGAGAAACTTAAATCTGTATTCCAAATGGATGCTGAGGTAACATAAAATTATAAGGTTCACTACAGCAGCCTGTGACCCGTCCAGATGCATGCACTATCTCTCTCAATGGTTGTAGTGGAGACAGTCACTATGTGTTCATTACTCTGTAGCCGCTTCCTGACACAAGGAATATGGCGTTTTCCAGCCTCTTTTGCAGTTAGTTTGGGGTCCTGTTGTCAATGAGCTCCGTGGACGAGAAATGAGTCACTTCTGGTTGGAGGGACTTCAGAGCAAGCGTGAGTTGTCTATGTTCTCTCCTCCCTTACATGGTGACCCTGCAAGTCCTGTGTCGAGAAACAAAGCTACAGACACAGGTAGAGTCATGACTTGTGAAGGGGTTGGTCTGGAGTGCTGATGGACTTGCTGAGGACTTCATGTAGTGAGGAATGAATTTGGGACATTGTTTAGCATAACCGATACTTGTCTAAATAAACTGATACTACAGTGACAAAGATATGTTCCCCAACAGCTTGAGAAAATCTTGAAGATGGAATCTGTTGGAACCATGTTGGCTTATCTGTCCATCTCTGGACTAATCAATGGGGACGGCAGGATAAGGTAGTATGGATGGCTCAATCTGGATTATGTGTGCACTCCTATGGCTAGAGGATAGGTCTGTTATGGGAAGAGGGGAGGGGATTGCACAGACATGGCTACTGCTGGAAGTCGTGAAGTTGTCCCAATTTGTCACTACTTTATTAAACCAAACAGGACAATGCTAATAATCATAAAAACAGAAGTTATTGAAAATAAATAAAACCCATAAATAAGCTCAAACATTCTTTTGCTGAAAGAGAAAATAAAATAGATAAGCCTCCGGCTTCGTCAAGAAAAGACAAACACAAACACAGATTTAGAAATGAGAAATTAGGAAAAGGATATTGGCCATATCAAATTTGAGTGGCAGATTTATGCTAATTGTGTTGAAAAACTTTGTAAAATATATGTGCCTTTTTCAGAATGTGGCGACATAATTTTGAAAGTCATTTATAATAATAAACAGAAGAAAATTACTGAGAATCTTTTGAAAGAGAGAGGGGATGACTTTTTCTACTTGTTAAAACATAAAATTATAAGTAAATTATACTCATATAGGAATTACTAGGTTTGTTCTTACTGTAGAATATGTTAGATCTAATGTATGATTTTTTAAAAATATTTATCTTCTGTTTTAAGCATATCATTTGAATTTGGATTCCAATTTTCCACCATACATATAATTTATAATTCACTAAACATATTTTTAATTTTAACTGATTTCAGGACTCACTGCTAATCTATTTTTTGATGTTTACAATCATTTTCAAAAGTTATGTTTTGATTTAATCTCAGTTTTCCACAACAGTTATCACCAGTTGATATATTATGTATTTATTTGTTTTTTCGTTTAATGCTTTGTTTTCAAGATTCATCTACATTGTTGTGCAGAGTAATAGTTTATTCATTTTCATTATTGTATACTATTCCATTAAGTAAAGATATTACAATTTATGCATTCTACATAAATGGATGTTTGAGTTATTTCCACTTTTTTGGTGGTTATTACAAATAATGCTTCTATGAACATCACTCTATATGTATATGGGCACACATAAGCATGCATTTCTATAAGATGTACACCTGGAAGTAGAATTGGCAGGTAATAGTTTACAGGTATGTTGAACTGTACTGAAGAATTCAGCTTGGCTTCCAGTGTGGTTGTAATTCATTTTAAAGCAATCTAGCAGGTGTGTAGTGATATCTCCTTGTGGTTTTAATTTGCCCTGCTCTGATTCCTAATGAGGTTGAGCTCCTTTTCGTTTGTTTATTGGCCATTCGAATTTTCTCCTTTGTGAGGTGCCTATTCAGGTGTTTAGTTTTGGTCATTTGACTTTCTTACTGACTTAGGAGTCCTTTGCTTTTTCTGGATATAATGTATAATACAAAAAAAGCTACTCTGGATATAATGTGTAATGCAAAAATCTACGACTCCATAGCTCAATGATCTCTTTTGATGAATGTGGGTTTTTTTTTTTTCTTATTTTCATGCTAAGTGTTTAAATCTTTTTTTAAGGGTTAGTGATATTTATGTCTCTTTAAGAAGTCTTTTTTCTAGGACCCACGAGCCAATCAGAAGGTGCTCCAAATATCCAAAACTAAAACAACTTGAGCAACAAAATAAATAATGATAGTATTGGTAGAATAATATATATATACATATGAACCAATACAAATAAATAATTGAATAAATAAATAAAAGGGAGGAAAGGACAGCTCTTCCTTATAGAAGAATATTAATTTTAAAATGAAGAAGAAATTAGGAAATAAAAAATCACTATTAGGCAAACACTGCAATAATATTTGTTGTAAGCAGGGTCCCCTAATGGATGCTAAAATCAGTAGAGGAAAAACAGGATATTTTCGAAGTATTTTCCCCAAATATTTATTAATTGTGAAGGGAAAAATAGTTAACTTTATAGTGGAGGAAGCTGGTAGACACCATCTTAACGAGATGGCCAGAGTTAAGATCACAGGTTTTAAGATATACCATTCACCTCCTGGTACAATGAATTGAAAACAGACTGACATCACTTCTATGTACCTTGTCCAAAATGCATTGCCTCAATATAATCTTGAGAAATCAATCAGGCAAACCTAAATTGAAAGACTGTGTATGAAACAGCTGACTAGTATCTCCAAAAATGCCAAAGTCATGAAAGACAAGGAAAGACTGAGAAGTGCTCATAAATTGGACGACACTAAGGGGACTTAACTAACTGCCATGTTGGAACCTAGACTGGATCTCAGAATAGAGAAAACACGTGTGGAAAAACTGGTGAAATTTGAATAAGGTCTACAGTGTGGTTCACGGTATTGTACCAATATTAATTTCCATTTTGGTAATTGCACTGTGGCTGTGGATAATGTGAAGATGAAGGAGACCTGGGGAGTGGGTTTAAGAAACTCTCTGCATTATTTTTCTTTCAGCTGTTCTGTAACTGTAAAATTGTTTAAAAACAAAACATTAAAATTTCTGTGTTCTTTATTTCTGAGGTAGGTTTGGTTGGATGAAAAAACTTTGGCTTTTATTTATTTTCTTAAGTATCATAAATTGTTACTCTGTTGTCTTCTCTTATATCACATTACTGTCAAAAATAAAATGACAATATGATTTTCTTTTTCCTGTCAGTGACTTGGTCTTTTTGTCTGGATATGCAAAATATACTTTAAAAAATTGTTCAAAGTTTGATAAAATTACTAGACTATGTCTTGATATTGGCCATTCCGGATACATTTTCCCAGCACTTAGTATATCCTTTAAACATGGAATTTCGAATTTTGAAATTTATTTTTTCAGCGAAGTTTTCTCCAACTTTGTATTAAAAAAATCCTGGCGTTCAGAAAAATTGAAAGAATGTTAAAGTAGACATCTATATATGCTTCACTTATATTTGCTAATTGTTAACATTATACAACATTTGTTCTATGTCTATACGTGTATGTGTATTATTTACTTATTTACATTTGGCAAGAATTTTGAGAGTAAGTTGCAGATGTGAGGATACCTCATCCTTAAATATTTTACCATAGGTCTTCTAAAATGAGGACATTCTCCTATTATTAGCACAACATAATTTTTACACTAGCATTGATAAAATACTGTTATTTAATAGTTACATTTAAGTTTTCTGAATTCTTTCAACAATATTCTTAATAGCTTTTTCTTCAATCTAGGTTCCAATAAAAGATCACACGTTGCATTTGGTTGTCACATTTCTTACATCTTATTTTTACTTTATTTTAAAAAATTATATAGTTTTAGGGGCACAGGGGTTTTTTGGGTATGTGGATAAATTGTATAGTGCTGAAGCCTGGGCTTTTAGAGTACCCATCACCTAACTTGTGTACATTGTACTCAATCTTAAATCTTTAATTTAGAACAGTTCCTACAGCAATTATACAAGGTTGAACCATTGAAAAGACTCACAAAACCTCGTAGAGCATACTCTTATAGGGCTTTAGGAAAGTAGAGGATACAGTACCGCAGGAGAAAGAAGACGCAAACATCAAAGAGGTTCAAGGCTCCCAGGCACAACTCATAGGGTTCTTGGTCACACTGTGTGTGCTTCTTCAGATCATAAATTACCAAGACCCACGCAAGGAACTTGGTCTCATGTGCCACAGTTTATCCCATGGAAGTCTTTTACAACCCTCAGATCACACAGCCAAAACCAGTCTCAGGAGTCATCCGATGTCAGTTTGCCATTATTACAGATGTTCATTGTGATCACTCATCTGCCATATTTCCTCATTGTAAAGTACTTTTTCCCCATTTGTAATAAATTACAACTGAGCAATAATGCCTAAAGTCTACGTGAATATCTTGTTTCCCAACACATTTTCACCCACGAGATTTCACATTCATTGATGCTCCTCATGTGAATCAGTTATTATAAGGTGGATACAAAATGGTGTTTTTAGAGTTTTTTATTCTTTCTACATTTAATAGTTTGAATTCTTTTGTAAAGAAGAGCCTTTTCTTTTATTTTCCTTCTTTCTCCCCACTCCTCCCACATTTTGAGGGTCCTATGGATTTATGGGAGTTATTAATATTTTAAAAATTAAATAAAATTAAACATATTTTAAGTTATTAATATTACCCTTTATGATTTTCAAATTCTCCCCATTTCTACCTATGGAAGCCCCTTTAAGCTAACTCCTGAGTCCTGCTGACATATCCCCATTCACTTTTTTGTGTTTTTCTTACTTTGTAGTACAACAAGCCATTCTGTTTTGCTTGAACCAGGCCTGAGAGATTGTTTCTTCAAGGATCCCTGAGATTAGAATCCAAGATCTGGGTAAGCAGGTGTGCTCATTGTCCCTGGGGTGTCATTACGTCTAGACCCTTTCAGTGGACAAACCTAGGAAATATATATTTTAAAATTAAGTACTGTAGTGAATGCTGTGGTGCTCCATACTTTCTTCATGTCTCCTTTTTAAGTTATTCACTGTGAACATGTATGTCTCTACCACTAAATTATAATAAGGTACACAAAAGCATGAGTTACATCTTGTTTATACTTATAATTCTTAATATCCTGGATACTTGCTGGGCACAAAGAAAGATATCTGTTAAGTTGAAAAGACTCTTTTCTCCTGTTCGATCTTCATCAGTGGGAGTTAGCTAATGTCTATATGGTGACGTTTGTTGCGAAGTGAATTTGCTGGTGATGTGAAATGGAAACAGTTAGGACACTTTAGTTTTACTATTTTTGCTGAAGTGGTCCATGTACAAAAAAATTTGAGAGCTATCACTTATTTAATCATTTGCATTTATGAAAAAAGAAATGTGAATAAGGTCCATATAAAGAGGTCTAAATGAGTAAGACTAACAGTTCTTAATCGTCAGTGGTTATTATTCTGGGGCCATAAAATATATCCAATATTTTGTTTATACCACTATCCTCTAACTGAATTGGCACCATCAAATTTAGGTAAAGATTGAGCAAATTTTCAGTATATTTGATTCCTTAAGTAATCAGTCTAGAAAGCCAGATATTAATAGCCTCCATTTATAAGCGTTTACCAATTAATTAATGCAATTGAGTTAGCAGATTTCACAGATTGATAGATAGATCATGTATTCATCACAAGACATTTGCAAGGCAAATAGTAGTATCCCTGCTTTTACAATGGAGCATGTATAAGCAAGATAGTTAAGTAAACTGCAGATGACCACATAAGTTATAGAAAGAGGATTTGAAGTCAGGTCTGTCTGAACCTAAGCCCTACTCTTTTCACTATGGAACATGGTGTATTTGGGAAACTTAAGTGTACAGAATATATAAAATGTCTGAAGGTCTCAGTGACTCACAGGGACCTGTCTGTACTGGACAAATTAACGAGCTGTTTCCTGAAGCTCCATCCCTCTGTACGTGGCACAGGCGTCCCCCTATTACCCACTGCTGTGAGTTTTAGGAAAGAGGACATTCCCTACTCAAGGTCTCCCTGCAGTTTGACCTTCCAGAAGACCCATGCTTTGCCCCTTTTGCGGGAGGCCTGATATTTCCCTTCTCACTTTCTGACACTGGCAGACTCTTTTTGTGGAAGGCACCTATGCTGGGGTGCTGGGTTCCAGCACACATGGGATTCCACCTCAAGTAATGGTATTGATTGGGTGAGTGCTTGGTTCCTAACTGTTCCTGTAACATGAGCTCTGGGAGAAGGAAGTTGGATTTGGATAATCCCGTCCTCATTTTTGAGATCAGCATTTCACCTCAATATAGTAGTAGTTCCCCTTATCTGTGGGGGGTAAATTCCAAGACTCCCAGTGGATGCCTGAATCTGCGGATTGTACTGAACCCTATATATACTACGTTTCTTTCCTTGCACACATATCTATAACATTTAATTTATAAATTAAGCAAAGTAAGAGATTAACAAAATAATAATAAAATAGAACAATTTTAACAATATACTGTAATAAAACTTATGTGACTGTGGTCTCTCTCTCTCTCTCAAAATATCTTACTGTACTATACCATAGGAAACTGAAACAGAGGAAAGCCAAACTGTGGATAAGGGGGGACCACTGTACTTCCATGTATTTAAAAAAGAAATCAACTTTATTGAAGATTAATTTACATACTTCCTTATATTTTGGCAGGCCTCCTTTCCCTCCTTTTTTCCTTATTATCATTATATTATATATTTATTGTAAAAATGCAAATAACTCAGAAATATAAGACAGAAAGTAGAAAGTTTTAAAATTCTTTTAAAATCGCCATTTGTTAGGTACTTACTGTGTCTCATGTACTTGACATGTATATCCTCATTGATTTATGGCAACAACTCTGTGAATGGAAATTATCATTCCTATTTTGTAGGATTTTTTAGGATTCTTCTAATCATTGCATTGGGTTACGTTGAATACTTGCTTAGCTGAACTGCGAGCTTTCTCACTTTGACTCTGTCCGTTGGGGTCTTTTCTCCACATGATCTTTATTAGAACCTTTTTCCCCTCTTTGACTTCAGTTGTATCTCTTTTTGAAATGACATATATGGTGGAGTACTCACTAGCTAATAAGCTTTATAAGAGCAAGAAGTAATATTGAGGCTGGGTGCAGTGGCTCATGCCTGTAATCCCAGCACTTTGGAAGGCTGAGGTAGGCGGATCACTTGAGGTCAGGAGTTCAAGACCAGCCTGGCCAACATGGTGAAACCCCGTCTCTACTAAAAATACAAAAATTAGCAGGACGCTGTGGTGGGTGGTGGTAGGTGCCTGTAATCCTATCTACTTGGGAGGCTAAGGCAGGAGAATCTCTTGAACCCGGGAGGTGAAGGTTGCAGTGAGCTGAGAGACGAGATCACGCCACTATACTCCAGCCTGGATGACAGAGTGAGACTTTGTCTAAAGAAAAAAACAAAAACAAAAAATTAATATTTACTTACATGACTGCTGTGCCTACATAAGATTTTAATTAGCATAAAATGTGACATGGAGTTGTTAAGTGGTAAATTTTTATTGAATGAATGAATGAATGATTTTAGCTGACAGTCTCTCTTTATGCATTCTCATTTGGTCTTATTAAAAAATACATAGTTCATTTGAAATGGACAATGTACACTGTTCCCCTGCTGAATTCGAGTCTTGAGTTTCATACTATTGATTGTTTACATAATAATTTACTAAAAATAATGAGTTTAGGATTTTTTTATGTGCTCTGAAGAAGCCAAGTGTTTTTTTTTTTTAATGTATTAATGTTGATTTGTCCATCCTACTCTGTTTTTACCATTTCACGTGTGCAGTTTCTCTCTTGCACAGTTTAAAGCTTTCTTGCTCTCTTCAGCAGTATCTTGCCAAAAATTCCTTATCAGTTCTCGTTAGACACCCTCTGCCTTATACTGGTAGTCAACATGTTGGCATTGTAAACGTAGCTTAAAAGTCCAATCCAGTTGTTCAGTTATTCTAACCTATTTTTTCTTCCACAGTCAGAACCTTCATGGGGGAAAAAGAGTTGAAGACACCCCCTGAATCTCGTTTGCTTTCCTCTTCAGGTCCCCTGGGGCTGTACTCCAGGTTTCCCTGGCTTTGCTTTGTTCTCTATGAAATTATGTAAGCAGGAACAGCCCTGGGTGCTTGGAATGCTTGGTGACTTCCTTCATGAGTGGGTTTACACGTGGTGACAGAAGAGGGCAGCTGCTGGGGCAGCAATTTTTGTCTCTCCAGGGTCTCCACATGGGCACCTTGCTTCTCCCTTGGATCTTCATTGGCCCTGCAGTGAGTCAAATTTGCTAAACCCTGTGGTCCCCTCTGCCCCAGCCACAATCTCAGCTGGAGCCTGACTTCAAATCTCTCACTGGTTGGTGGTTTGACCTTGAGGAAGTTGGTAGACCTTGTTTGATCACCTGGGAAACGTAACTTACTTCAGAGAGAGCATCAGTGAATTGAGAGTTGTGGGATCACAAGTCTAAAAAAAAAAACAGCCACAGGATTTAATTATGCTAGTGTTTCTCCACCCATTTTGTTGATGAAAGAGCTTCCAAATCATTGCCTGTCAATCTGAGCCTTGAGATAAAAGAGTCTCCCTTTGAAAAACAGTCAGTATATGAAAGTCTGGGAACTGGTATCAATATTTATTAGGGGGCGCACACCATCCTGTCCTGTTGTATCACAGATTTATAGGACAACCAGTTATCCTGGACTCCCTAAGCTCTTTCAAGGATTGTGTTAAAATTCAACCTGTCAGCTGTTCCTTGGGAGGATAAAAAACTTTTAGGCATTCCTGTAGCTGACTTGCCTGCAAATGTATGGAAATAGTTGTGTTTTTTTTAAATCTCTACTTAGCAAAACATTTCTTCTTTCATTTCTTTTATTTCCTCTTCCCCTATGGTTCCTGGTGATTGATATTTGAATGTAGAGTTCCTCTGGGAAAGCCTGACTTACTCTTCTACAACTATATAGGTCGAAAGAGGAGGAGATGTATGTTGCCCATTGTGTGAAGGGGAAAACAGAAAGATTAGCAATCTCTAGAAGCTGTACCAGGAGGTGTAATAAATGTACAACTGTGAAAGAAAGAAAAAATAAACTTTCTTATAAAAATATTAATTTTAGAGAAAGATTACATCAATCAGGAACATTAACAGAAGCTCAACGTCCAATGCGAGGAACAAAAACTGATTTGATGATCCATGTGAACTGAAATTAGTGTCAGGGTGGATTTAGAAAGAACTAGCATGAGCTGGGCATGGTGACTTATGCCTGTAATCCCAGCACTTTGGGAAGCCAAGACAGGCAAAGCACCTGAGGTCAGGAGTTCGAGACCAGCCTGGCCAACATGGTGAAACCCTGTCTCTACTAAAAATGCAAAAATTAGCCAGGTGTGGTGGCAGGCGCCTGTAATCCCAGCTACTCAGGAGGCTGAGGCAGGAGAATTGCTTGAACCCGGGAGGTGGAGGTTGCAGTAAGCCGAGATCGTGCCACTGCACTTCAACCTAGGCAACAAAGTGAGACTTTGTCAAAAAAAAAAAAAAAAAAAAAAAAAGGAAGAAGAAAGAAAAGAAAGAAGGGAGAGAGAGAGGGAGGAAAAGAAAGGAACAGAATGGAAAGGAAAGGAAAGGAAGAAAGAAAGAAAAAAAGCAAGCAAGAAAGAAAGAGAAAGAATGAACTACCATGACTTCTTTCTGAAGGGAAATGCAAGCCTTGTCAACAGCCGAGTGTGTTGAGCTGTATACAAGTCATAATTCTCACTTTGGAATCTCCGAGAATTTTCTAGGAATAAGCATATAAGTTGCTCTTTGTTGAATGAGCTACTGAGAGTGAATGAATGGAGTGAACAGAAAAAGTTGATGATACTTC